CTATGATATGAAGATTAAGTATTTGGAATTATCAGGCACAGAACTTGCCTTTAGTACCCTGCAGTCTCCTGGTGTTGTTTATTTGCAGTTCCCGTTGTGCTTTGGTGTTGCTGCCTGCACTTGACTAATAACGAAGGCTCCTTTCCGGGTTAAAGGCAGAAATCCAATATAGAGTTTGTATAAATATTTGTTTTTGAGGTGTCAGAAATGTACTGTATAAGCAGTCTTTCAAAATATCTGGCAGGAATTGAGATGGAGTAAAGTTACACATAGTTCTTCCTGGTATTAGTATTTATTAGAATTCATGTTGGTATGCTTGAAAGTTCTGTTTTTGGGAGGGTGTGTGTATTTGCATACAATAGATGGACCTGGGAGCAAGAATTAGATCCCATATTCAAAACCTCCTATCTTTCTCTAAATTCCATTTAATGAACAGGTCCAATAAAGACAGTAAAAATAATTATTTAAAATACTCATTGTAATTGTTAATTAATGCCTAAATTGCTGTCATTTTTCCCCCTTTGAATTGTCCTTCTGTAACTTTTTTTAACCTTGGTCATGATTATTACAAACTAACACTTATTTCACTCTGGTGAATTACTTGGTAGGTATTTCACTTGCTTTTCTTTGCTCAAAGTTGTCTTCAGTTTTAAAGGCTCAGTTTTTCTGTTTCTGTTTTTATTACTAATATTCTGTTTTCTTTGTAACCCTTTCTACCTTCTTTACCATTTGGAAACTCCAGTAACTGTAATGTCCATTTAAACTTTTCACCTTTAGGGTTCTGACATAGAGACAGTGACCTCAGAAAATGGAAGCACAAATGATAACCACGAGTTTGTTTCAGAAGAATATGTTTCTTTGCAAGAAGAGGAGCAGGCTATTGATTTGCAAGGTAAGATATTAAAAGAGGAGCAGTTTCATGAAATAGGTCAATATTTCCCGTAGCATTGGCACAAAATTAGTATTTTCAATAGATTTTTATGTATTTTGTGGACCTCTGTCGGGGTATTTGCTTCACCAGTGTTATGGAAAATATTCAATCATCACCTTTATATTTTTCATCAACTTTATAGAAGTATTTTTTCCTGAAATATGTGAAATTAGTAGAATATTTTTATTTTTGTTGAGAATTTAGATGTATTGTAGAATAGTGTGCACTGGTGTTGCTGGAAGATAGTTTATAGAAGTGTTATTGATACAAGAAGCATTCCCTAGTAATGTCATAGATCAAATAAGAATAATTTAGAAGGAACTGTCAATGCTTGTACTCCTAAAAGATGAGATTGTGACACTGTATTTTAATATTATATGGATGTGGGCATAATTTGTGGTTGCTGCTTTTAATCCCTTGTTTGTTTGCTTGTTTATTTCCTCTTTTTATTCGTATAGCTCAGTGCAACAATGATGAAGAGATCCCAGCAGTAGATAATACTCTATCTGGTTTTGAGGAAACTCAGCCAGTTCCAGAGGTAAATCACATTACAGATTACATTATTCAGAAGCTTCTGTAAGCCCCATCTGTCAATGGCAAGAAATGTTTTGAAGGCATTAAAATGGAGACACAAACTTTTCCTTTCCTAAAGTTCCAACTGTTCTTGTTTTTCTGATTGTTTTTTTAAATACTTTATGTTTTATGTATCTGGATAATTCTCACATTGTCCCTTTCCCTAGGAAAACAAAGAAAAAGTTCCTGATGATGGGTCCTGCATTGGAACTATTAGTGATGATTCTGACATTGTTACACTTGAAGCTCCAAAACCAGAAGAAACTCAGAGTCAAGAGGAAGCTCCAGCTGATGGTGAAGAAGCTCAGAGTTCAGAGGATTTTAACATGGGTTCCTCCTCTAGCAGCCAATATGCATTTTCCCATGTAGAAACTGGTAAGAGCAATACAGTCATAAGCAACTGTGTGTAAAAATGTCACCAGGAAAAAAGCCCAAACCAGTCTTTGGTTAGGGAGCCCTCTTTTTGTGGAGAGAGGAAAAAAAAAATAATGGTCTTGTTGAGTATGTATGCAAGTATTTGCAGTCTTCAGAAAAACTCTAGGTGCCCTCTACAATTTTGTCTAAATGTATGTCTGCAATCTTTTTACATGAAAGCAATCTCTTTCATTAAATGTTCACTATTTTAAATAGAAAGCTAATTTGTAGCATATCTTGGAGAATTAAAATTACTTTTAGTTCATTGAATAGTTTTAGGTTTTCTCTTGGCAATATTTTTGGCTTTATATAGAGTTGGCATAAATGACTAGCAAGTGGGAGATGATTTTTGGTGCCTGAGGACTTGAGAACTAAGCAGTATGACTACAAAAACTTTGTACCAACCTCATAGCTATGTGGTGTATGTTTATATATTTAAGATACTCCCAGTGCTTGGCTGAAATAAGCAGTGCATTATAATCAGGAGGAAGGAAATGAATATTTGTCCAATGAAGAACAACAACAAACAAAACCCCAACCAATCCAAACAAAAAACTTCCTGTTTTTTTGCTCTTCTCTAGTTCTTTAGTCTTCCTCTATAATTCTTTTTGGCTACTTGTTTGTAATCTCTTCTGTTCTCTTCGTTGTCTACGACACCTTTGTATTGCTGTTTTTTATCTTTCAAATTAAGTTTATTATACAAGCAGGATTTTAACTAAAATACTGTTTTATCTTAGAGTAGGATACATTAAACGTTTGTGTATCTGTATAGTATCCACTGGAAGCAGAAAGTGACAGCTTAGCATCTGATTATAACCAGTGAAGATTTGTAACAAAGCTGTCACCTTCTTTAAGTTGTCCGGGAAATCTGACTTAATTTTAGAGTTAAGATTTAGTTGACTTTGTTTTTTTCTTTCAGGGATGAGTTCTAAAAGTGTCTTTTTTTACCCCCCCATGTTTTTGTACACAAAAGTCAGTTGGCTGGAGAAGCTGTGGAAGATTCCTGATTGTGTAAGGGGATGGGGAAATGAGGTGAAAGAGCATGTGTCTCGCAGTCTTCCTTTCCAAGGTGGTGTGATTAAATTTGATCAGCTTGTGCAAAGCTGATTGCTTATGGCTTGCATGGAGTGTTCTTACAATTTTTGATAGCAATCTGACTTGATCAAGTAGTAGTCATATTCTAGACAGATGCTGAAAGCCAATCCTCACTGAAGAACTTGGCTAAGCTGTCAGTGTCTTATGTGCTTCTTTAAAAAGATGATAACCTTGCATGTAGGTTTGGAGCAGACATCAGTAAGGTTTGTAATACATTTTAATGTGTGTGCTTGATTGTTTAAATGGATGGTTCTTGTTGGAATCCAAGCCTGTGTGTGACTGGCAAAAAGAATTTCTTCCTTTTAACTTAAGCTGATTTCAGCATGGCCTTTAGTGCTGTGCATTCAATTGATCAAATATTGCAGAAAATGTCGGGAGTACTTTTGCAATTATTTTAAATGCTGACGTTTTAGCCATGACAAAAAGCGGCAACAGAAATCTTTGCCATCCCCTTCCTGTTGAGTGTTCTTTTGTGTTGGAAAAGGATGAGCCTCAGATTCTTCCTAATGTAGATACTGAAGTGTTCTACAAGAATTTTCTGCCACTTCTTTTTGGAAACCAATTCCTGTTTAGGCTGTCTTCATCATGCAAACAGAAATGTTTTGATACTGCTTCGTGAATGACATTCAGCCAGCAGAAGTACCCATATGCTGCAGTGAACTGTATCTGAGCTGTGTCTGTGCAGAAATGTCAACTGACTTAGTCTGATTCTTGGTGTATATCTGACACTTCACAATCACAGTAGGAACTAGGATTTTGGACTGCTGTTGTGGTCACACTTTGTTTCATTTGTAGTCCTTTCCGTCCTGGTACTGTTAGAGCACAGCGTTGCACTGAACTCTTACAGCAGCTGTAAGGCAGTGGCATTCTTGCCTGGAAGTGTAATTGCTGTTGACAACTTGCCAGTAAGTGCTTATGAATGACTTTAAGTGTCTTCCAGCATTTTTCTTTCTGATTGTCTTTTTTCTTTTCTCCTTTCCTATTCTTTGCTGTCCAGTGTGTATCAAAGAATTTTCCCATTTGTCTAGAAGCAGTTTGTTCCTTAACCACTTTTGTATTCCATGTGTGTAAACCTCTTTGGTTGTTGAAAAACCCTAGAAAACCCCAGAGATGAGCAAGAATAACACCTCTTACTAAGTTTGTCCTGTATATTTCTCTATAATGTCTGACCTCTGCATTCTAGAAATGGCTTCTGAATGTTTGCCTTTGTTTTCCAGGATTGGAAAGTATGCATCTGCTTAAATGACTGATTCTAAAATAGTGTCCTTCTCTACTAAGCTATATAAATTCATTGAAGTGTCTGCATGTCTGAGTCACTGTTTAAGTGATTTGTCTTTATTGCAAAGTCTGCTTGATTGGTCTGGTTTAAGTGATTTACTAAAATGGAGTTTTTTATTGAGGGAGGAAGTCGTCTTTCATGTTACTTGTCCACGGACTTAGAAATTAGAAGTGTTCCAGATACTAATTGATAATGTTTTCTGGGCTCGATGCAATCACTTCTATCAAGGTGTAATTTATTTTAAGTGAAGAATATAAGTGGTAATGCTTTTTATAGATAATAGCCAACATTGCTTGGCATTCTTATCTGTTCAGTGATGTGTGCATGGCTTTGCTCAAAAAAATGACTTTTCAGTTGCGAACCATGACAGTTTCTGTATATTTGTATTTTTGCATTTTGACTAATGATGTCTGATATGAGAATGAACAATCATATTTCTGGGAGGAGCATTAGCATTGTGTGGTTGTGAGCAGCAAAATTAGTGTCCAAGCAGGAGCACTTTGTCATGTCTGAAGACTTCACTGATCCCATTGAATTTCTTCCAGACATGTGAATTAGGTACAGAATGTAGATACTGGAAAGCTACTTTTCCACCCTACTGCTGCTTCCTCTTGATATTTACCTTACACTTAAAAGTTTTGGTTTTAAAGGAGGGAGATTAAATCATAATTACTTATATACTGGATTGTATAAATCTGTTTACAGTATATGCAGCAAACATTTGTACAAATGGGAACAAGCAATTACAACTTTGTAGTTATTTTCCTGGATAGAATATGTGGCTTTTAGGCCACTGGAACCTGAACATTTAAATGGTATAAAAAGTATGATTTTGCAAAAATTCTATAAAAGGTATTTTTTAAGGTTAGAATTTGTTCTTATCTCAAATCTTGTACAATTTACCAAAACTTCTGTCAGGTAATAGAAGAGTGTTGGGAAAGAACAAACAGAAAAGCACTTGAGTGTTTTTTTTCCTATGCAATAGTGGTTGAAAATGGCTTTTTTTGAAAGGTGGGTAAAGATGTTAACAGATTGTATATGGTAAATATTAAAAGAAAACAAAATAGTATATTTAAATAAATTTATATATAGATTTTTAATATTTCTAATAGCTACATTAATGGAACTTCAATGGAATTTTGTCTGCAGTTGCATGCAGATCACAGAATTAAGTTTTTTGAGAGTATGCAACAAAACCATGTCTGTCTTCTAGGAGGCCTTTTAGCAAGCCTTTATATTGCTCTTTCATTATTAAGTTTTTTAGTTTTAATAGCTGTAAGAGAAGGAAAACTGAATTCTTAAGTCTTTCTACCTCAAGAATTTGCAGGGGCAGTACATGTAGATGCTTTAGGAGGCAGGATTGACTGAAACATTTTGTAATGAGTGAATGATAAGGTATGGGGAAGTGCCATACAGCTTTTTAGTGATGGTTTCTTGAGTCTCTATAATTTAGTTTTAAAAAATGAATTTTTAACTTTGGAGAGCACACATTCCTTGCATAATTTCCAGCAGAAATGATATAATTAGAATTTTAGTTTTGTTTTATTAATGTTCTCAAAGATAAATGCCAAATCTCTTTTGCATAAATATTATGGATCTTGATACTCAGTTTGCTCTTTAATGCAACACGGAATGCATTTTAAGCAGCGCTGTGCGTTGCTTTTCAGTTTTCTCATCGCAGGCCAGCGCGGCGGAGTCCAGCAGCGATGAGAGCAGCAGCCAGAGCAGCCCCGCCGTGCGCAAGCGGCGCCCCAGGAAGCGCGGGGTGTCGAGCTCCGAGGCCGAGGCGGCTCCGGCCGAGCCCCAGGCGGAGCCGCCCCGCCAGGAGCAGCCGCAGCAGCGCCCGTTCAGCAGCGGCCTCAACAGATGCATCGTCCTGGCGCTGGTGATCGCCATCAGCATGGGCTTCGGACACTTCTATGGTGAGACATGGGACAGAGTCCTCAGCTTCCGCAGCAAACGCTGGTTTGTTGTGACTCTCATGGCTTTTCTTGTTCTCTGCTAACAACTTAAACCTAAAAATGAGAGGAAGCAGCTGCTGCTGTATCGATAATGCAGGGAGGTCCTTCAGCAGTGCAACTGTACGTAATATAGACTAGTTCATATAGTAATGTGGTAAATAGTAATTTTTCCTGAATAGCTCTAGTTTTATATGAAAATATGCCTTTCTAAAAAGACACATGATTCAGTTGGAGATGGGGGATATCATGCTCTTTGGATTTGGTTGACTAATTGTTAGGGATTTAAATTTTGGCACTCCCTTTGAGATTTGTATTAATTTTCACTTGATCCCAATTTTTTTTTATTAGGTAAACCTGAAGGTAAGAGCCATGAGTGATGGAGTGTGGATGCTGTGCTTGCATTCAGATTTACTTTTTAAACTGTGCATGTGTATGTGTACACACATATCCATGTATGTCTGCATACCTACATTGTGAAAATAAAATAAATTGAGTCTCAGGGACTGCTGATATATGTGGGATTACAGGAAGAGCTGATCCAATCATACAAACACATTTTGTGTAGCAGGCAGTAGTAACTGGCTGGTGAACATTGGCATGCTAGAGGTATAGAGGAGCACAATGACCAGACCAGTCTGTGATAGTGCCTGTGGTGGGAACTTGAGATTTCAGTTGTTAATCACTTCACTGTGTTTAGTTTGGTGCTAATGATAAATACTATCCTTTTAAAGAACTTGGAGATCTGTGGATGAAAAATACACTTTGAATGTGGACTCAGAGTAATACATTTTTTAAGGAATTCACTTGTTCATTCATTGAATCTGTACTTCTAAATAAAAATTGTCATCACTGATGACAGAGATGGCAACATTTTCAGCAGAAAGAAGGCAACTCTGTATGGCTTCTGTTTTTGCTTCTTCAGGTGAAAGTTCTTCATGGTTATGTGATAATTTATCTTTCTACCACTAGAAAGGAAATGAAGTTCTGCTTCCATCTTCCCGTTTTTAGTTTTTTTTCAACACAAACTTACAGAGGAAGTCCATCCTCCTAGAGGACTACTTTCTATTTTTGTGGTTCAGCTTAGAATGAATGTTTCCCACAGCACTCTTCTAATGTTAAGCTAATTGTCATGTAAGAGGATTGGAAAGGGTAACTTTTTATAAAATTACTTTTCTTTTTTTGGGTCAATATCAGGATAGTGTTTTCCTTTTAGCTAGAGCTCCAGGATCCCCTTAAGTCTTTTAGAAATGTGGAAACCAACTAGGGTTAGATTTTAATCAATAACTGGATCCTAATCAGTGTTAAACTGACTTAACTGGCTTTATGATGCTCTAGGAAGGAGAACTGAAACAGGGCAAACTTTTCAGGTAACAGGTGAAGCTTAAATTAGGTAGAAAGTCCTTGCCAGAAAAATATCTCCTTATGGACATTCAGATATTTAATTTTTTTCTTTAACCAGAAACTGCAAGGGGGGCTATAGCTATAATGCTAGGGATTTGGGTTGGTTACTTAGAGAATCTGGAGGATACTGTGACTTAGAGTACCAGCTGGAAACACAAACCAATTACAGAGGAATGGCACCTCAATATGTTCATTTTCAGTGTTGCTAAATGTCATTTCTGCTTACTGTACCTAAATTAGGATTTTTGATAGGGAGAGAAAGAAAGCTTTAAATGTTTTTGTGTAATTCAGGTTCTACCTAACATGAATTCTTTACACTAAATTATTATTTTTCAGATGCAGGCTTTAGATTGTTAGGATCTATGGCCTTCCTCAAATTTACTGTCAATATACTTACATTCATTTATGAAAAGATCTATGCTCCCAAGAAGTGTTTACTAGGACTCTGCAGACTTAAAATCATTCCTGCAAAAATGTTGCCTTTGCTTAGCTGAATTGAACTATTATAGTTCAACTTGGTTTAATATAACAGTCTTTTTTTAAGGTTACACTTGACAATAGATAAAAACTAAGAGAGCACAAAACACTCATCAGTGTAAGTGCACTTACAGTATTTCTTCTGTTTAACAATACATCTCCCCCTGCCTTTAAATACAGCAATGGAGCTCTGATTATGCTGCACGGGTTTTGAAAGAAATACCTAAAAATTACTGTTGCCTTGTTTTCTAGAGTCAATTCAAGATAATCTTAAAAGCAAATCTATAAAAACTACATCAGTGTTAGGGTTTAGAGAACATGTATTAGGTGAGGAAGCACCAGTCCTTTTTGTCAAAAAAATTTCACAAGAAAATTTGGTGGCTAGTACAGCAAAGATACTATTTCTGAAACCAAGGGTGTCTCAGCCTTTGCCTGACAATTGAAAAACAGGACATTTGCTTACTCTGCAGCCTTTACTTATGGATAAGAAGGACAAGACAGGACCTGCAATACTTGCTGCTTTGTAAACAGTGTGTAATAATTGTATTTCTGCATGAAAATTTAAATACTGTGCTAATATTCTCTTATTCATGTAATTCAAGTAACAGTCGGGGTGTAGTTCTGGAGTAATGCATGGACTAATAGTCTCCCTTTTATCTGGTTGACTTGCATGTTACTCAAAAATTACAGAGAAGTCACAAATATTCTTTCCTGTATAACTTCTGTTGGTTTGGATCTAACTCATTTCTGTGTAGTGTTCCAAAATTCCTTTATTTGTCATTAATGAAAAAACATTGTAGAAGTAAATTTTTTGATCTGAGAAATTGTTTATCATTGAAATAAACAATTTTGCTACAGCTAAACAATTACTGGTAAGGACAGGGCTGAAATGGCAAGGTAAGAATGCTTTTGAATTTGCAGAGAGAATGAAGATGATGTTTAGGTTCCTCTGTTCCTCTAAGTGCTTACTCTAAGTCAGTCTATCCAAAAAACCGTTTTTATCTTTGTAGGTACAGTGCAGATCCAGAAAAGGCAGCAGCTGGTGACAAAGACACGTGAATTAAAAGATATGAAAGATGACCTTTACCAGTGCCAACAAGAGCAAGGAGATCAAGTGCACCACAAAGTGGGGGTAGGTGTGAGCTTAGCTGGAAGTCATTGCATAATTCTGTCATCATGTATGCATTTTGCACAAAGTGAAATTAATTTCTCACACAAATCCATTAAAATTTCATCTTTAGTAAGTTCTTTCAGAGAACATTCCCCTGAATTCTTGACAAAGATTTATGTTGATTGAATTTGCTCTCAGAATGTGTTTAAACATACTGGGTTTTATGTCTGTAGTCGAGGGGTTATCTGGACAGAGACTGTTTCCCTGTGATACAATGCCAGGTTGTCATTAATGAGGACAGCTGAAGTAGAAAATGCTTGTAAAAACCTGTTGAACCTGCTACTTTCTAAATTATCAATGGTTATTAATTTTTTTAAAATACTGAAGCCATACTTGTGTTTTTTTACTGTTGCATCATCCAGAGAGAAGATTAGAGTCTTTTTATTTAGGTTTTCTTTTGTGTTCCTGTTAGCAGCATTTGTACATAATTAGTATGTTCTAGAGCTTGTCAATGATGCCAACAGCCTGGGCAGCTCCTTTTGTGTTAGTATATAGTTACACAAACAAGTATTTTCAGCAATAGATTTGGTTCAAAATCAGTTTGTGAATTTCTGCCCCAACAGCTCAATGCCTTTGCTTCTGCTAATTTATTTTTGTAACCTGTAAATCCAGTTTGCTGAACATAAATCAACAGCAAACACGCACATTTTAATTTCCTTTTAAGATGTTAGAGTTCACATACCCAACTGCCTATCCTTTAGTTAAACCAATACAAGTGAGGGGTGATGACCTCTGGCTGGCTGGGGGAGTTTCTCACATGGTCTTTGTTGCCAAGAAAGTGTGTGATAAACAAACCCAACTGAGATAAACAAACCAGCTCTATTTTTGCATCTTGCTGCGCATGTTTCACTGCATCCAAAATGACAAGGGAGCTCTGTTTGGGCTACCTTGGTTATTCATCTTTCAAGCTAAAACTGTAACTGTAATTCTCGTTGTAGTATTTCTGCTTGTTTTCTTTTTGTTTCTTTTAGTCACCCAAGGGAGATCTTGCCACATGTCTGACCTTTACTGAGGAGAAGAAATCTTTTGATTCTCAAAAAAAAAGTCTTGCTGCAGAAAATCAGCACTTAAGAGAATCTCTAGAGAAGGAAGAAAAAGCTTTGGCCTCACTTCAGGAAGAATTAAGGAAGTTAAGACAACAAATTAGAAACTTAGAAGATAAGGGTAGTAGCACTGAATCTATTGTAATAGAAAATCAGAAACTAAGGGAGCATTTGGAAGAGGAAAAGCAAAGGAACAGCAATTTTCTCAGGCAAAAGGAAACACTCTTTGCAGAGGCACAGATGTTAAGGCGAGAACTGGACAAAGAACGTCACGTTACAGAAGCTCTGAAAAAAGAGCTAGAGCACTTAAGTTCTCGTCAAACACCTGACAGTGCTAATGATGATGATGAGACATTACGAGAAAATCAAGAAATAGAAATTCTGCGAGGAAGACTGGCAGAACTAGAAAAAAAGCTAAACTTTGAGCAACAGCGCTCTGACTTATGGGAGAAGCTGTATGTTGAAGCAAAAGACCAGTCTGAAAAACAAGAAATTAATGAAAATGGACAAAAGAAAGGTGCTAAAGGGCAAAGTAAGAGTAGAAAGAAATCAAAGGAGACATTTTTTGGTTCAGTTAAAGAAACTTTTGATGCTATGAAAAATTCCACGAAAGAGTTTGTAAGACACCATAAAGAAAAGATTAAGCAGGCTAAAGAAGCAGTGAAAGAAAACCTGAAAAAATTCTCTGATTCTGTAAAGTCTACATTCAGACACTTCAAAGATACCACAAAAAATATCTTTGATGAAAAAGAGAAGTCATCAAGCGATAAAAGATACGAGGCAAACAAGAAAGCTCGAACTTTTTACCGAGACCATAACTCCTACGAGAATCTGAAGCACATGCATTACAGGGGACCTCACTTGCCAAAAGAGTCCAGAAATGGAAGAAAACATCATTTTACAACATTTGGAAAAGATTCAGATTCCCAGAAATGTCTCAATGATCATTTGTGTAGTAGAAAACATCAGTTTGCCCTAAAGGGCTGCTCTGGTATTTTTGAATGTGCTCATCAAGAATTCATTAGTCTCTTTAACAGAGTTTCAGATCCCATCAGGGTGGATGAATTTAATCGGCTCATGAGAAAGTATTTGCAACAAGTTGTACATAACTTTCATCACTGGAGAGAACTAGAAAATTTCATCAATAAGTTTTTTCATAATGGATTGTTCATACACGACCAGATGCTGTTCACTGATTTTGTTAATGATGTCAAGGATTACCTGGAAGATATGAAGGAATACCAAAGTAACAATGAAAAGGTTTTTGAGGATTTGGACAAATACGTCTACAGATACTACTTCCATTATGATAATTCACCCCAGTATGGACCCAGGTTTGTTTCCATGTTTCCTGAACTTGATAACACAAAGAATTGGTTTTTGTAAAGAGAACCAATGTCCTTGTTGTAATGGATGGTCTTTGAGGAGGTATGTGTATGTGTGTATGTATGTGTATACATATACACACATACATATGCTAGAAGACCTTCTGAAGGCCTTAGCAAAAATATTAGATTATGTTATATAAAGTGAATCTGCAGTACCTTTTATATAAATTTGGTGTGTGTACATAGCACAATCTGATGTTTCTGCTGGGTTCTTTAGAAAACTGTAACTTCCAGTAGGATTTCTTTAGACCAAACAGCTCTGATTGCCCATCTGAGGGAATGAATAACTGTCTTGGAGCATTAACTAGGGCTTCCTTGTTGTCCTTTGCTGATTGAGGTTTTTGAATATATTTGAGGTGTCTCCGAGTCCTGTTCTGGAGATACATTTCACTACTTTGCTGTAGATTAGTGTAATACTGGGTTAGTCTGTATGCCCAGAGCAGAGCTCATCACACAGCAGGCTTTACTTCAGATCCTGACCCTGACTAAATTTTGTTCAGGCTTGCTCACAATGGCCAGCCCTTGGTGTCAATTGATTCCTACATTCCTTTCCTGGATCTAAAGGTGTTCTCAGGGCTTTACAGATTTACACTTGTATTATTAATCATTTCATGTACTTTATTGCAGCTGGAAGTCTGAATTATTAACTACTTTGGGGTTACTAAGTATTACCTGAAATTGCACTTCCTCCTATTGAAAGCTGAACCATGAGGGTCATAGTCCTATGATCAGCTACCCGGTTAATGTGGTTTTGGCAAACACATAAGGTTTATGATTTTATTTACAGTCCATCTTCCTAATTTATTATCAAATGAACTTTACTTTTAAACTAAATACCTAATTTGTTAGAATTTCAGTTTGCAGAAAAACAATTCCAAATTATTTTACTGATACTGTTATACAGAAGCTTGTGATATCAGCTGTATTTTTATTTTTACAAAGCATTTATTTTATATATACCATCTTATTGGTGATTTAAACAAACAAATGCCTCCCCCATTTTTCTTACAAGCTAAAGGGCTACCTACTACTAATTTTGTTTTCAATGAACCTCAGCATGTTAAAAGCTGTATTTGAAAGTGTAATTGTGTTTCAAAATGATTTTAGTAGTAATAAGCTTTTGTTTACTCCTTGCAGTCGACCTAAAAGACCTTTTACACAAACTGAAAATTCCAGACATGAAAAACAAGCTCAGAAGTACCAACACCGTAATAAAAGAGAAGGTAAATGGCATAAACATGGTCGCACTAATGGAAGACACATGGCAAATCTTGAAATAGAATTGGGGCAACTACCCTTTGATCCAAAATATTGAGTAATTTATTGTAAAATTAAGATGAAAATTCACATACTCTCTGGAAACTAATTGTTTTTCAACAAAGCAGCAAGATGCAAGTTTTTTTTCTGAATAATTTGATTTTTACACATTTTTGTTAACAGGCAGAAGGCAGGCTTTCTAATTTGCATATTCTGTACCGTTGCTTTTACTGTTCTTTGGAAGTGAAGATAGTTTGGGTGCCAGCAGTATTGTTGCAGAAACTAGGCATGCCATGACCTGTGTATGAAAAAATGCTTAATTGCATTCCATTAGTGTAGTTAAAGCTTGAGCCATGCATAATGTACCAACTACTAACTCCAATGTTTGATATACTAATTTCATCTCATCCTTCAAAAAATAGGTCAACATTGTGGTAACGTGTTTGTTAGTGTTTTGTAACCTTATATTTGCTTCCTGTCTTTGGGGGGGTTCAAGAGCCTGTTGAATTGTGAAGAATTTGCTGTGCTGCATTCTAATCAGCGTGCTGATTTAAACACTTGAAATGTCTTGCATATCTGCATATTGTAGAAGAATAATAAAAGAGACATTGTGGGTAAAAGTCTTTATTTATAAAAGAAACTTGGCATAGCTGTACAGTTCTATAAAAATGGTCCAGTCTTGTCTGCATTTTATTGCGTAAGTATTCATATGATAACTTTGGTCTTCCCAATGTTTTCTAGTGTTGTAAGGTAGGTCAGCAACCCCACCCTGCCCTACTGCTAGTGAAGCTGCCTTCAGGAGGAGGTTTATGTGTCTGCAGGCAGCCACTGGCTGCCTCATGGGACTTACCATTCGACTTCCCCAGTTTCAGACTCACTGCTCTCTCCTTTCTGCAGTACGAGGTCTAAGCATAGCTATTGCTATGCAAAACTGATCTCATTAGGTCTGAGGTCTAGACACTGATCTTCAGGGATAGTTCATTTCAGTTTTTCTCCTGTAGATGGAGATGTGGCTTCCAACTCGTCCTTGAGGTACATGAGTGTGAAAGACAGTGGCTGTTTTCTCATAGCCCCTTAGAGCTAGAAATGGTGATATTTCCTGTAAATGAACATACATTAATTTCCACAGTAAGAAAACACAGCTGGGAGCATAAGAATAAGTTCCAAAGTCTCTTGACAACCATCAGTTCAACTGTCCCTGGGAAGCTTTATCCTTTATTTTAGGAAAGCCTGCTAGAAAAAGAAGTACCTATCCTTTTTGATCCTGTCCGGAGCGGATATTCACCAGCCACCGCTGTTTGAGTGCATGGACTTCATTAAAGATTTGAGGGGTTAAAAGGTACTGTGACTGCAGATGGTTTTGCTTTTCATTGTTGCTTACTTAAAAGTGCAGTTTCTGGAAACAGATGGCACATTTGTTTTAACATGGATTGAGAAGAATTCCATAAAACATTACTTTGTGGCCTGTAGAATTTGCACAGAGGAGAGGACATATACGAATATTATATATATATTGGTGGAATGATATCAACACTCTTATTAGGGACTAGAGGGGTCAATTTTAATATAAGCTGTGCTTTAAAAAGTTGTGGGCAAAAATTTTCAAAACTTTTAACTATAACTCTTCCCTAATTTATTTTGTAACTTATCCTCAGCAGTAGTTTGTTTCATCTTGCAGTTACCATACCTGTTCTAGCACATTGAAGAGGATCAAGTGACTGGGCAATAATGTGTCATTGTAAAACTCCTTATTCAGCCAGCCAAGTGGGTTAGAGTAGAACACATCTGCTTCATCAACGTAGCTCTCATTGCCAGTTAGGTTTGGGGGACACTGAAGGAATCTCATTTTTAGAGGACAATGAACATGACTAGGGAGAAAAACAAAAACACACATTTCATGATAAACTGACCAGAATCAGAGATTTGAAATGACTCATCACTTTAAAAGATACCTCAGTCAAAAAAAAAATCAATTAATTTTTTTCCTCAGAGTAGTATTTTCTTCCCTTCAATACTTCATAGGAAAGCAAAGTAGAACAAGCAGACTCAGCTTCAAACTGCTGGGACTGTGTTGTTAGCAGTTAACAGAAAATACATTTATCTTAATAAAAATACCATTTGCCCAACATCAGTTTCTTAAAAAGGTACTTTTCCATATCAGCGTCACTATTTATATCTACTTTAACATTTTTTTTACTTGCCAGGATCTACTGAAAACCTTTTGCAGTGACTCAGTCACTCTGTTGTAATGACATATCTTTACTGCCTAGCAGCAGAAGTAAAATGAATACATTTTGATTTTAACAATTAGTGTTTCATTTTGCTACAAATGTTACCATAATGAAAATGGGTGACATACTTGGTGAAGTCATTAGACTTACTGCATATCCTCATACAAAGCTATTTCACAAAAATGAATAAAGTTTAATGCTGAATTTTATTCTGTGGTATAAACATTTGGCTTATGTCCCCTATTCACTCTTTATTAACTGTATGAAAAATCAAAACTCTTCCTGTATACATTTATCTATCTCAATTTATTAAGCCTTGGAAAAAAGAAATCTTGATTTCTGATTAAGAGTTTGCACTCTAATGTAGTGCACTGTTAATGCTTTTAATACCTGTAAAATGGAGTAGAGTGGCATGGCATCAGGATGAAGACAAAAGCTTGTGACTGCTGAGAGTTCTTGCAGAGCTGCTGGATGTGACTCATAACATCCAGAGTGCCTCGCTGGTGCACCAAGCCTGTGTACAGGGCTGGGACTAAATTGGATAAGAGCAGGAAACTTGCTGCAGTCTTCTTCCATGCTTTCAAGTGTTTCAAAGAATATCCTACAGAAATATTTGAGTAAGTTTGAGAGATAAACAATTCACACATTTTTGAAAGTACCCTAATACAGTGGCAAACTATTACTCAGTAAATAGCAATACTTTGCTTTGAGATGCTTTACTACAGTGTTCTTTGAGTCTTTACTCTTTGAATGGAAATTCAAAGGTTAGACTTTGCTCTTCTTGGATTTAACAGAGTAAATCTTAAACCCACACCTGTCTCCTGAAATACAGAAATACAGTTTCAAAACCAGTGCTTTGTCTATTTAAATTTAATTTCTTGTAATGGAAAATAGTCCATTCAATAGTTTGGATGAATGATATTTGACAACTTACTGATGTATTCTGATTCATGCAAGTCCACGTAGAGCCAGAATAAATGGTAATACATGTGCATGGCTGTGGTATTCTTTTTCTCCAAAATGCTGAAAACTACAGCATTCCTTTATTGTTATTAAATTTTGAGCTGCTGGCCTTAGAAGACCATACTCCTGTATTTTTTTCCCATCTCCTATTACTGCCCCTTTTCCCCACTTTTCTTGAAGGAGCTAATAATGGGAAAAGACATTTCTTCTGGGGGGAGATGATTGCAGAAGCCCTTTCCCACAACCACAGCTTAGGTGAAGATGGCTCAGACACCAGCTTCATGTTGCAGCCAGTCTGAAAACCCTTTTCAAGTCATGTGCCTGTCAGTATCATGAGAAAAATATTTTATGTAGCTTTGTGACACCTGTACTGAATCACAGACAAGCTTTGAGGCATGTTCCAGAAATCAGTAACAAGCAAATTAAATTAGTCTTCATTTGGTCAGTTCTGCCAAATTGTATTTTGGATGAAGTCCACAAATTAGTTTGTGGTTTAAACACAATTGGTAGCATTCTATTATGGGCACTTTTTTTAATTGCTTTTGTGAAACACTCTTGGCTTATGTTTGTGTGCTTGGAAATTACTTTGAAATTCATGTGGGTTTTTTTCTGCTCTTATTTTGTAATGTTTGGAGCAATTAAGATCTCTTTGTAACCATGGACTTATCAGAAGTAACTTTTGTAGTTTCTATCTTTAAAGTATCCAGATGGATGATAATAAATTGATAAATTGTATAGATGATCTCATTCCCTTACAGACATGAAAACTGAGGGTTATTCAGTATTTTTGTTATTTCACTGGAACTTTTCTGCATGGAAGGTAGAATGGGTTCATCTTGCTGCTACTGAACTAAGCCAAGACTTATTACATACTTGATTTTAGCAGACAGCAAAATTATTAAGATTTACTTTTGTTTAGACTAGCAAAATAGGTGAAAGAAAATTACAGTGTTCAGTGATTCATGAGTTTTGAACTTGTATTTAAGCTGAAGCTATACAGCTTCATGCTCCAGAAGTTTTAATCTTCTTTTGTAACATCTGAATCTGGAAAAGGGTAGTTTAATTTTTTTATTGCATAATTAAAAGGCATTTGTCAGGCATATTTGAAGTACTGTGTGGAAGAATACTACAAAGGAACCAAGAAACAAGATTCATTTTAAGGGTGGCAGTGCTGAAAAGTCAGGAGCCACTGACAAAATTGTCATGTTTTTGCAGGAATACTTTTATCCGTGATAAGTATTTTTTATCTGTGCTACAGTCACTTGCTCTTCCTCATCTTTTTTTCTTTCCCTTTATAACCAGCTGTAAGAAAAGGCTAGACTAGTTCTAAGAATCCTTTATCAAATACCTACATTGACCATTAACAGTCTCTCTCTGGGTAAAAATTATATCCAGGTAAGGTTGCAAGACATTTGAAACTGATGCTTACCACAAAAAATCATGCAGAAAGGCAGTACTGGATAGATGAACCTGAACTCCTTATGGCTCAGTGTGCTGTAATAAAACATATAACAGTGTATCAAGAAAGTAAAATGCTTCAGTTCTGTTGAAAAAATGTGTTTTAGAGCATAAAGGACTGGAAGAGCATGTGCATGTATTAAGAAGCTTTTGGTATTGAAACAATTAAGAGTAAAAATACAAATTGTCTCTTCTGAAGAACATAAGTACATTTGAATTAAGATTATTTGGTCAGTTTAAACCAAGCACTGGTAAAAATTCCTGGTTACTACAATTAAGTGGTCTGATTCTTTGACAACTAGATGTAATTTAGCCAGTACTTCACCAATCTGTTTTCTGTAATAAGACACAATAAATAGTGTGGATGAAAAGCTAAGATTCAAGTGCCCATTTGTATCTAGCAAATTAACTGTCACCCCTGCTAATTCAACAATACACAATTTCCCATGCCAACTTTTTGGGCTTTTTTGGGGATTACTGCAACAATCATGTCTTGGGAATTAAAGGGATTCTTACAAGACTAAGGGAGGTAAAAATGTCCTAAAGCAAACAGAGTTACTTCCAGTTTCAAGCTGGAAAGAAGAAATGGCATTTCTAGTCTTGCTGCTGTTTTGTTGTAGGTTATTACTGTGATCGTATAAAAGTATTTATTGCTTTGTATTTATTTACTTGCTGTATTTTTTCTTGTCTGAAAGTGTCTCTCCTGTTTAATCTACAGTTAAGTCTGATTCTTTAGAAAAAACTTACCTTTTCTTATACTTCTGAGCTTAAAATGAGAAATATAGCCTTATGTTAGTTAAGAGCTGTGTGTACACTTGTGAATGGAGTAAGTTTTAGAGGTCTAAGAACCTCTCATCTTACTGGGGATGTATTAAAGAACCAAATGAAATGGTGCTTTCATTAACAGGCATCTAGTGAACTCAGTTTTCTAACTAGTTCTATTTTTGCTTAAGCACCTGCTGGTTGATTGAGTGCTGGTTTTGGGATTTTTAAAATTTCATTTTCCATTGCATTTCATGATAAATTATTTTATTCTTTAAAGGTCTAGTCAATTCTAAAGATACAAGTTGGTGACAATACAAGAAGCAGGATCACACAAAATTCTAGAACCAGTTTTATAACTGAGTGTTTGAATAGTTTCAAGTTTTCTATCACTTAACCTGAATACTACGCTGCTTTTTTCTGGAGAGGACATGAGCTTTGCAAAGAACACAACCAGTGAGAGGCAGTAGTTCCAATCAGGAGATTACCTGTACACCAGCACTGTCCAGATCACTGGCAGCAGAAAGATGTGGTACCTCCTTGGTGCCACTGCACAGCCGTGAATAAAGAAAGGCACATGGGGACCCAAGATGACTGGGAGGCCCTGAGTGAAGTACCAATGCCAAGGATGAGAGCCATAAAACGTTCCCAAATTCTGCAGCACGTTGAATTTCAAGAAGTTCAGCTGAACCAGTACCCACTGGGAGATGGAAGGGAGTTAAACACAAATCCAAAGTCAAACCCAACAGCTACATTGAATTACACAGTCATCACTGGCCCTGCATAATGCATTTCACTCCTATTTCAGCTTGGTTTTTTTTCTACTAAGACTCAGCATGGACTTCCTATATTTAGCAATTAATCACAGAAGTGTGTAAGTCTGTAGTTTGTTGATAACTATTGAGGACTGAGCACACTGATTTTATGTAGCAGACCATCATTTGAAATACCTGAGAAGTCAGTGTTCAAGGATTTGTGGCTTAGGACATATTTAGAGATCATAGGCCAGACACTGTCACAGAAACAAGAGAAGTCAGAGAAGTCTGAAATACCCATTAATGCTAAAATACTAAACCCCAACCTTCTTCTTATAAGTCAAGTTTAAAACAGCTTACCTCACCAAAAAACACACGGTCAATTATTAAAGAGGTTCCTACTGTGACCAATCTGCAAAAATGGAAAGTTTGTTGCACTGATATTGCCTGAATTGCTGTTCTATCTTTTCCAGATAGCTGTCAAAACTCTGATTCCTAGTATTTTTGAGATTATCCATACTCATGGCCATTTTACAGTGGCCACTTGCCATCACCTGGTATCCTTGGCACAATACCAGATTAAGCTGGAATGCTGCTCATTTCTCACCATCATGAAATCTTTCCTGATGGTTTAAAGGAGAGATGGTCCTTCCTTAAACTTTTGCCAAAGGACTCTTATTTGTTCTCTTTTTTATTTACATGATATCAATGTTTTTGGGCTTGTCTGCCCTTGCAGTGGAAAAACCAATCTTAAGATGTAGCTGTGCACAATCCTGGTTTAAATTGAGAAAGAACTTACCCAACTGGAATGCAGGTGTGTAGGATAAGGTCTGTTTTCTTCTGTTCTTGCAAAAAATGACTGAAGACCAAAGGTATCCATGGGATAACAGCAGTGGGACGAATAACAATTGCAAGTGCCACCAAAGCTAAATACTTACAACTAGAAGGAAGAAATATAAAAAACCCAGCAGCTTATCAAAAGGTCTGGTCAATTCTTTTGAAGACAGTGATATTTCAACAACTGTCATGTCTCTGGCCAAAAGTCTTTCATTCTGCAGGTAACTTTTGACTCTCTGAGAGCAGATACTCTGTTTTGCTTGGAAGGCTGCAACTCTAGAATTGCTTTGTTACAATGGAGTTGCTAACTAGAGGTACCTACTTTAAAACAGCAAGCAATAAAGAAAATGGTGACCACAAATTCACCTATAGCTGACCCCAAAAAGCGTTTGTTATCTTTTCCCAAGTTACTATATATTGCAGGTTTTTGAAGTTTAAAATAAAACTTCCCATAAAGTCGCACTTTGCAAAAGGAAACAAGAGAATAGCTGATTTTACATATCTTAAAAAAATATTTAGAGGAAATACTAGTGTTCTTTCTATGAGACAGAACTCTTGCTACATGAGGCTTTGGTTGCCTTAGATGTTATGAAAAAGTTAGCATTTCAAACAGCATCAGTAGATTGGTGTCATCCCAAACCAAAAATTATCCATACTGTTAGGAGAAAGTTTCTCACCTGTTCCCCATCTTGGAGCCTTTTACTGGATAGTAGGAAAGAGCAAAAATGGTAAGAATAGTCTCCATGGTGTTTGTTAGAGTTCTGGTACAGGAATACCATGTAAACCAGGAACAGAGTTGGCAGAAGAACTGAAAATAATTATGAACACATTAAAACAAGTTCACCTAAATGAAGGTGGTAATTCTTCAAGGTGTGACGTATCATTCTGCTCTTATTTACAATGCAAAATCATGCATGATTTTTAAAGGCTATGACTCACCACAAACTTTGCTGTTTCTGAATTTTCAAGGTGTTGCACTAATGAGTAAAGCTGCACATCAGCAAAAGCAGCCAGCACTGCCTGTGCAATCCTAGGGACCCAGATCTGTATTAAGTAGAGAGACAACTGTACTTGCAACAAACCAAGTTAAATTCCAAGTTTTAAGAGAGGACTGAATTAGTAAATGATGGTTCAGGTATGAAAATAGTGAATGGGTAAATATTCTCTATAGCTTTTTATAATTTTAAAAATGAAATAAATAAAGATAGAATTTCTAT